CAAATGTAGAAATTATTACTCCCTTCCCTCAAAATAATAATCCAAGAGGTAGAAATCAGAGATTGGAATCAATTGGAAACACGAGAGTGCCACCAGGATGGAATAATAATGCGCGAAATGCTCATGTGATACGACCAGGCTCACCACAGTCAGTTAACAATCAATTAAATAATTTTAATAATCCTAACGTTGATTGGGTAGATCAAAATCGAAATCGTAACACCTTTGGTTTAAACAGAAATGTACCTCCACGGGGGCGTGGAAATAATAGGAATAGTGCAAACCAATTAAATTTTATTAATAATCAGAGAAATGAACATATAAGGCCAATGCAAAATGAAAACTTTTTAAATGGGTTTAATAATTTTAATAAACAACAAATAGAAAACAATAATCGTAGAGGCCCTTGGATTCAGGAAGAAAATAATTATGACCTTGACACTGCTAGCAGTAACAATTGGGTATCACGACCAATACAAGGTCCAGCACAAAATAACCAGTTCTTTTCAAATAATAATCCATCACCTAGTGACATGAACTTTTCAAATTTAGTTGATGCTGTCAATGAAAATTTAATTAATTCCGGTATAGAAATTGTAAAAGCTGAATTAGATGATGTTGATCGTGAATTTGAACAACAGAATAATTTTGGATTTCCTTCAAGCATTAATGCTCCAAGATTACAAACAACCACAGTTAGAAGCGCACCTCAATTAGATCCATTTGCACCTTTTCAATTTCGACCGGATCCAACAGATTTTAATAATAATCAAAATGATGACTTTTGGGAAAATGTTAATAAAAATATTTTTAATAATCCTACTAATACTAATATTGCTTGGCCAATGGAAAACAGGTGGTTATGGTTTTATTTAAGTAAAATTAACAATTTATTAGATCTTCTTCTTCTCTTCTTTCTTTTTTTTCTTTCTATAATTTCATTATATAATTTTAAATTTAGTTTCATGTAAATTTTTTTATTTCGTTTTGAAGTTCCAATACAACACCGCCAACTACAAAGAAGCCAACAACTGCTTCACCTGTGACGGATCGTGCTGGAGCAGAACGACCTGCTGTTAAAGGTAAAATTTTTTATTTATTATATATTTTTTTTAAATAAAATATTCGTTTATAATTGCAACTCAGAAAGATTTTTGAAACCGAAGAGATAGGCTTGGTTAAAGATAAACAATATCTATTGATGGAAGATACGATCATCTATAAAAATTCAGTGTTTTATTTCGATTTCCAACTTTGTAGTCCCAATTTTTTAAATCGTTCATTTGAATATCTAAAACACTTTAATCTTCGTAACAATAAAAAAAATTTTTGAGTTTCTATTGTCTATACAAATATATGACTCCTACTTTGTCTATTTTATCTATACTCGTCTCCATGATTAATCGATAGAAACGGTGAGAAGAAAATATATATGCGATAATAAATTATCGATTTTTGTAATCTGTTTTATTTGTATTTGTTTCTATAAACCGTTTTTTGTATCATTTCAATAGTTAAAAAGCTATTAACTAGCCGTGAGAGACTCCTGAAAACTCCTATTAGAAATGTATTGTGAAGACTTTACATTTTGGTTAAAAGGGACCATATTTCCATACAAAAATACCCATATTGGTAAAGTTATATACGGACCATATTTCAGTAATTAAAGAATGATATAACAGAGGTTTATGTCAAAGTCAGATTTTTGTTTAAATTGCTAAAATATTTCAAAAATGGTTGTGTGATTTAAGTATGTTGAATAAAGTGTTGAAATATGGCACAATAATGCATATAATTAGCACATTAATTACAATGCAATGCATTATATGTATAATGAAAGTTAGTTTAATATCACAGGTGTGACTAATTATTAGTTTTTGAATGGTTAATATATTTAATTGAAAAAATCAAAATCTGGGGCGTGCAAGGGATTTACAAGGAAAATCTACATCTACAACTCAAAATTATATAAAAATTAATCAAAATTAAAGAAATTTAATATGAGATTAGACAGATATGAAAGCTTTTTTCTTTGAATCTGGAAGTCTTGGAACCAAGAAGTATGGTAGTTACGGTGATATGATTTATATTATATTTTATATATATATATATATATATGTATGTATGTCAGAAAGCACACTAAATAAAGTCCATAGTTTTATGGTATGTTATATGACCAGATAGATTTTATGAAAAAAAAACTAAAAATTAAAATTTTATTTTCTAGACTTAGCGGAAAATTCTAATTGACGAGCCAGTAAAATTGTGAAATTGTAAAAATGATTTTAATTAGATTTGGGTTGTTTTTATTCTCACTGTATTTAGTCCAAGTCAACCTTATGTTATAATGAATGCTAAGATATTTCATATTATTTGATTTGGGTATATTGACAGTAATCAATTTTGATTAAATAATTAACAAAATTCCTAACGTGTTTGCTTATATGATTCATTTCATATCTCAGGAGTATCGGTTTGATGTTTTATACTACATAGAATTTCACTTCATTTTCTCCGTTACTTATAGAAAATGCTCCGTTACTTTAGAAAATGCTTGTAGAAAGAATGGTCCAATTTCGTGTTACAGCAATGGTAGTCTATTTTCCAATAGCTGTTCATCATTTCCATCATAAAAATGTAGAAATATTAAATGAGATCTAAAACTGTAAAATCTAATTGCCATTTAAGAAAATTGTTGATAGTCTCCTACAATTCGATCTATATAATATATACTTTATCTATCACACATTATTTCCATTAAATAAATTTATTGATTATAATTGAGAGCTGAAACTGTGCAATCTAATTGTCATTTAAGGTAATTGTTTCCATATAATTCATCGTCGATATTTCTATGAAGAAACCTCTCTTTACCTATTTTCTGATATTTTCTACTTTATAAATAATTTGATTACCCGTAGGTTGATTTTATTTTTGCGTTGAGATGGATTTCTGGTATGATTGAAGGAATTGATCATAATTACTTTGTTCTCTACATACTTCTTTATTTTCGTCGAAATGTTAAGTATTTAACTATGTGGTAACACCTATAAGTCATATCAGTAATACAAAAAAAAAACACACCTTGACAAATTAAAGTATCTTATTAGCTAATATTATGTATCTTTTAGTTATGTGGTTATAAATAAATAATTAAATTATTTAATTTTATTATCAATTTGAATATAATTCTAATTTTTCCTGTTTAATAGCTTGCCGTATGATAGAGGCGAATTTGACAGTTGAGTTAACTCCGCATATTCTTGACGGAATCCCAGTATTACTGGGAGAATATCCACATATGGCAGCTATAGGGTTCAGTGTTATTGGAAATGAAGGCGAATATGATTTTCGTTGTGGTGGAACTTTGATTGATCCTAGATTTGTTTTGACAGCAGCACATTGTGTAAACAGTCGTGAAAGTCAGCCTGTCGTTGTGCGTTTTGGTGTTGTCGATTTTAAAAATGAAACACAAATGAAACAGCGCGTAGAAATACCTATTTTAGTGAGTAATTAGGTTCACAAACAAAAAATAAATTAAATATTTCAATGAACTTAAAAAACTAAATAAAACTTTTTTCTTATTATAGAAAGTCCATATACATGAGAATTATAGTTCAAGTAAAACATATAACGATATAGCATTATTAGAACTGGAGAGAAATGTGATATACACACCCAATATCTTTCCAACATGCTTATACACTAATGTGGATGATCCGCCAGAAAATTCTGTGCTTTATGTAACTGGTTGGGGTGTTGTTAATGTTGGAAGTAAGTTTTAAGAATAAAAAATGTTATGAATTTATTGAGAATTTATTGAATTTATTTTTTTTTATAGCTCGTAAAAGGTCCGACATATTGCTGAAAGCTCAATTAAAAGTAACTCCTTTAAGTATTTGCAATAATAGTTATGCTGAACAAGGTTTTGCACGGCAAATATCTGAGGGAATTATAAACTCTCAAATGTGTGCTCATGATGTTGCTGAACTGAAAGATGCATGTCAGGGTGATTCTGGTGGACCATTAAATTTAGTTGTAGACGAAACAACTAAAAATTACCGTATAATTGGCATTGTATCAGCGGGTTTTAGTTGTGGAACTGAAACGCCAGGATTTTATACACGTGTCGCTGCTTTCTTAGATTATATAGAAAGCATAGTGTGGCCCTCATCTAAATAAATTATTAACGTTGTTAAGACTACATACGTTTTATTGTGTGATATTATAACTTTTTATTAAAGAACTGTTATTTTTAAGTAAAATATTTTAATAAATAGAACTAAGTAAATTTTGAAAAATAATTATAATATTGTACATACATGTGATAATTTAAGAAGTTTGAGTCATTGATTAATATACGATATTTGAAATGAGTTTTTATTTAAGCAGAAAAGTTTTCATTATACCTATTAGTAAATTATGTAAAAAATTTGTGGTTTACTTTGGACTTTTTATATTCTAACTAGAATTCTTTTGCTTGTTCTTAATTTTCTAATTAAAACGAAATTTGACAGACTTTGAGCTGCAGATTTAGTATCTGCAATAAGTGTCCAATTAGTGTAAATGATTTCTCAATTATATTTTTACGATTAGTTTTTTTATAATTTGTACGGCTCATTAGAATAAACCTATTAAAATTTATTACATTGGTATAAAAAGAAATCCCTGTACTATATTACTTAATTTTGATAATATAATTTTCAGTTCTCAAAAATTACTATGTTATATATTATACTATGTTATATCCTTTAATAATCAATTGAAAGCTTGTTCTATATTTGGTTCATGATTTTTATGAAGTATTACTTTTATTTAATACGAAAAATACTCTGGTGTAACAGACCCATTATAATATATAATGATATTGTTATATTTTGACTTTATTACGTTAGTTTGTTACCCCCAATATGGTACTCCTGTTTCTTTTTCTTGGTTTAATTTTATTATTTTAATTTAATTAAAAGCATATAAATTTTTTTATAGTAAATTTGAAGAGACACCTACTAAAATCTTAATTGTGATATGATCTGGTATATCTACAATTTTACTATCTTTTGGAAATTTTTAAGTGAGTTTTTATTTTTAGTTTTTTACAATTTATTTATTTCGAAATCTTGAAATAAAATTCATTTTTTTTTATTTTTTAATCACTTCATCTATTTTTCCCACTAATTCTTTTCATTACCATATAAATTGAAATGGCTTATTTTTATTATAAGTTATTCTAAACAGTATAAGAATAATAATTTTAATGTCGAATAAAAATTTAATAAAATTTTTTCTGTATATTCCTAAAGTTTTGATTCAACTTCGCCTCTGTCGAAACTAACTGAAACTGAAGCACCTGTCATGGATCGTGCGAAAGAAGTAGAACGACCTGCAGTTAGAGGTAACTTTTATTTTAGGAACATTTATAGATTTATTTAGAGTCAAATATTCATACGTTGCAAGATCCTCAGAAATAAGAGGCAATACTATTGATAAGCTTTATATTGTATGTCATTCAGTTGATCATTAATACATTATATACATTATGTATATGTCTATATAAATGTATATAATTTGTATAGACATATATATGAAAAAGGCATAATTCAGAAATGATTTTCTATATTTAATATTATTTATCAAGATAAAGCAAAACAGAGGATTGTTGATATTCTCCACTCCATTATTTTTTTTTCGCAATTCTTTACATTGCTTAGAGATATATTATTGATTTTTTTTTTCAAGATACTAAAGGAAAACATAAGATTGCTGATATTTCCAACTCCATTGTTTTTCTTTGCAATTCTTTACATTCCTTAGAGAGTATGACTAAGTATTATCATTGAGAATTTAGTATACGTTGACTTGAATACTTAGAATGTACCGCATTATATTTTCAGAATTATTAAATTAATACTCTACAAGATATTTATAAATTATTAATTTGATTTTTAAAATGTTAGCTCAAAGGTGTTTAATTATATATCTATATCTTTATGGAATTGTTAAATAAATTTCGTTCTATGTATCTTAAAATCCTTTATTAAAAATATTAAATATTTAACTCATATTACAAAAATCAAGTTAAACTATCAGTACTTTGAATACAATATATTATCATTTTGTTGTTGATGTCAAACATAGATTAACAATGCAATAAAATGCATTTTTGATAAACGAAAGATTCTAGATATGTATTTCTTTAAAGGTTATTATTCAATAAATTTTTTATAAGTTTCATTGTATGTAAAGTTTTAAATTTAAATACATTTTTTTTAAAGCTTGTCGATTAATAGAAGAGAATTTAGCAGTCGATGCAGTTGCGCATATACTTGACGGAGTACCAGTATCACTAGGAGAATACCCACATATGGCAGCTATTGGGTTCAGTATTATAGGAAATGAAGATGAATATGATTTTCGTTGTGGTGGGACTTTAATTGATCCAAGATTTGTTTTGACAGCAGCACATTGCGTAAACAGTCGTGAAAGTATGCCTGCCGTTGTGCGTATGGGTGTAGTCGATTTTACAGATGAAGAACAAATGGATGATCGTGTCGAAATACCCGTTATTGTAAGTAGTTAAATATATAGTAGCAAAGAATTTTGTCATAAAATATATAAAAAGTGATGTATAATAACTTTATTATAGAAAACTCATATACATGAAAATTACAGTTCTGGCAGTAATTATAACGATATAGCATTATTAGAATTGGAAAGAAATGTGACGTACACACTTGATGTATTTCCAACATGTTTATACACAAACATAGAGGATCCACCAGAAGATTCTATACTCTATGTAACTGGTTGGGGTGTTGTTGATGTTACAAGTAAGTTTTTTAATTAAAATGTATTTGTTATACTATTTTACATATATATAATATATATTTTTCTTTTTAATACTATTTACGTTTTTAAAGCCTTATCTGAACAAAAATAAAAAAAATTTTTAGTTGGTTTTTTTTTTCAATTTATTTTATATAGTTAATGTAATGAAAATATATTCAACGTATTAAAGTTTATTGAAGTTCTTCTTCACAGCTGAGTATAGTTACAACTGATTGTGATAACAAAGGAGTAATTAATAGTGGAATGAATAATAAAATATATATTATGAAAATAAAAAACCAACTAAAAGTTTTTTTTTATTTTTATTATTTTTTATTATTTTTATTTTTATAAGTCTGTGAGAAATAATATTTTGAAAAAGTGAACTAATATTTTTTTTCTTAGCACGAAGAAAGTCTGATGTGCTGCTGAAAGCAAAATTAAAAATAACTCCATTAAGTGCTTGCAATAGAAGTTATGCTGAACAAGGTCTTACGCGGCAAATATCTCAGGGTATTATAAATTCTCAAATGTGTGCTCAAGATGACAGTGAGATGAAAGATGCTTGTCAGGGTGATTCGGGTGGACCACTGAATCTAGTTGTAAACGAAACAATCAAAAATTACCGTATAATTGGCATTGTATCAGCGGGTTTTAGTTGTGGAACCGAAACGCCAGGATTTTATACACGTGTCGCTGCATTCTTAGATTATATAGAAAGTATTGTGTGGCCTTAATCTAAGTAAATGATTAAAAGATGCCTAAACTACATAAGTTTTATTGTGTGATAATCTAATATTTTATTAAGGAACTGTTATTTTTAAGAGTTGAAATAATAATTTGAATTGACTTTTTGAAAGAAATTAATATTATATTAAAAAGAAAAACATGTACGTTATTATGTTAATATTATATTCACATATATTGCATTATGTTTAGCTGATTCGGTCTACAAATCTTAAATACTGTATTTGTTTCATTAACAAATAATCATTTTGAAAAACACCCTACAGTCGTTTAAAGTGATTGAAATACTTTATTTTCAAATTACTGTCTCTACTATAAAATCTACTCCATCTCTAGTAGCAGTTTCTGCATTATTTTAATGGTACTAATTGAAACTTTTTTTTGAGACCCTATTCTCGAAGTGGAGAGAAGGACAGCAAAGTGGAGTGGAGTGGAGAGTGGAGAAAAGGTCCTTTTAATTTGCCTCATAATTTTACTTTTTCCTCACTGTTCAAATCATTTTTAGTATTTACTTTTAGTATTTTAATATTTACTTTTAGTATTCACTAACATTTATTTGAATGGTGAACACATTCTTAACTTTGAATTTTCTTATTAGATTTTCAAGCCGTTTGATATCAATACAATCAGCTATAAAGTTTATTTTTTATTATCTTTCTAATTTTTTTTTTGATAGAATAAATATAATTTTATAATATATGCAATATATTGATATGGCATATATCAATTATTATTCGACAGTTAGAGTCATCGAGAGAAAGGGTGATAAAAAGAGAGAAGCGGAGAGGCAGAGATAAACAGATAGCAGAGAAAGAGAGAAAATAAAAAGAGAAAGAAAGAAAGATAAGAGAGAAATAAAGAGAGTGAGAGAGAGACGGAAAGAAACAGAGATGAAAAAACAAAGATGATTAATTGAGTATAAAATGATGAGATACAAAAATAACTGTAAATATGTATTTGCAGAAATGATATGTTTATAGTAGAAAATTATATAGAATTTAGAAATGATATCTAAAATTCAAATAAGAGGTGTTTAACCTATCGATAGAAAGTCCATCATTTCCTTTCTCATGACGAGCATCGACAATTTTAAATAACTTAATCGTACTTAAACGTAGTGAAGAGATCTGTAAATGCAAAAAATATAGTAAAATAAGCCACCCTTATATATATAAAGTTTCGACTAATAAATACAATAGTGTTCCTAATATATACATGTATATAGATATACTCAAAATATAAAGTAACAAAAAATTTAAGTAAATTGTGAGTTAAAGCGTTAATGCACATTGAATCACAATCTTCGCATTTAAGAATTTAAGGGTTATGAAAATAATTAGCAATGCATATCTGACTTACTTCAGCCAGAAGGCTTGTAGAATGTTGGAGAAGCTGATTAGGGAGAATGTTAAAAAAATTAGAAGTAACCGAAGAACTTGTTAGCAACGGATGGACGAACTGCAGCTTTTACTTGAAAATAAATAAGCCATGCAATATACCGAACTACAGCTGATTATCAATTTTATTATATTAATTTTTAATACAAATAAGAGTAAATTGTTTTGTGGATATCATTACAAAAAACCGAAAATAACATAAACCTATTTATATTTTTTCTTTTTTTGTGGTTTTAGGTAATAAATAAAAATAAACAGTAAATGAACACACTCATAATCAACATACTAAAAACGAAAGCGATATGTCCGATAAAATGATGAACTGTTTCTGTAATATCATACAAAATGTTTAGTATACTTGTTAGTGTTCTTTTCACGAACGCTATTTTTGTTGTGGATATTTGTAGTTATTCTTTTCCGAATGTAGTATATTTTTTGGTATTCGAAGAAAAATATTTTGGAGATGCTTTTAATATGTATTGTAGATGTTTTTTTTAAGTAGAAAAAATTTTTTTAGCAATTTTAATTTATTTGTATTATATTTGTATATTGATTTATGTATTTTGTTTATGTTTTTAAATTATTTGTTTCAAATAATAACAATAAAAATAAAAATAGTAAAAGTAGTAATAACCCAATAATCAAACTAAACTTTAAACAACAATTTTTTTATATACATATTAAAACTTTTATTCAGTACAGCTAAATGCTCAATAAATTATTATTTCACTTTTTTCATCTATATTTATTTTTGAATAAATCCAATTTCTTATCTTCATTTAAGAATATTAACAAAATACGTGCACACTGAAAAAATTTTTTTCTATCTCGGCAAACAATGCACATTTAAAACATAGCTGAAGTGATTTGCTTGAAGGACATTAAAACACACTAAATTATTTTGTTAATCTTGTCATGAACACTAAAAACTGCACTACTTTCGTGAAGCGAACACTAATGAGAACACTAAAAATGTTTTGTGATATGTTGAAAACAGTACACCATACATACATCAATTTTTTTGAAATGTTTGTCAATAATTATTTAGTTGCCATCTATACGTATTAATATAAATGGCCAGAGAAGTATTGAATTCTTTTTGCTTAACCTTAAGTTTTAGTTTAGTAACCAAAAACTTTAGTTTCTCCAACAACGCCACTAAACAAGCTCGTATAGGTCATATATGATTATTTATATTGTTTGCACATAATTTACAATTGATTAAATTAAAATTTATCAATTTATAGTTGCGTTATACATCCTTACTAAACCAATCTTATAGAAACGTATTTTATGCTATTTTTATTTCTGTGCTATTGGATCTCAATGTTATGTAGATAGCTTAATGAGTCTGTCAGTTGAGAATAAAAATTTTATAGTTTTATATGGCATATGTTTTAATCGCTTACTATTCTCTTAATGCGAATTTAATCTTTTTAAAATATCAGTTGTAGCGACATTGAGATACATCGGACCGGTTTAAATTCGCTCGTATATATTTCTTTACTCAAAGCTTTCTCCAGTTATCGAGAATAGATGCGAGTAAAGCGGCGAGAGGAAGATCTCTTGCTAAAAACAAGAAATAAACCGTCTTAATTAATTAAGTTTTATTGATGATTATTTTAAACTTCAGATTAGTTAGTTGAGCGGCGGATACGTGCGAGGTCTGTGATTGAGTATGCGCAGCGAAAATAATGTGTGATTAATATATTCTTTTTGTGGCATTTTGAAAACAATACAGAGTGAACATATTTTTCAGTAACTTAATTTGTTGAAATAAAAAATTTTGTTAACAAATATATGAATAATGTTTGTTAACTTTTGTTAGTAAACATTAACATTAAGCAAAATATTAATTTTTTAATATATAAAAATTGTGCATAAATGTGCTTTATTACTTATCTTGAGATACTTATCAACAAAGCTTGCTAAATCATTTTGTTCCTGTTGCTTTTGGTATATAGGAAAAATAAAAAAGAAGAATATTTAAGTAAGTCTATATAATATGATTGAACTATAAATAACTTGACATTTTGACGATCTAATCAGGAATAGATCGTATAATCAAGACATTTATTGTGTACTCGAGGTTTACGTTCAATAAATTTGTATATAAATGAAATAATATAATTGTCTAAAACATAAATACAATAAAAGTATTTAATAATATAAAATCAGTGAAAAATTCTGTCAACGTTATTGTGCATTTGACGATCTAATCAAAAATAATTTTCAATTTATATAGTATATATATATTGCACTACAAAAATTGTATTATGAGAAGATTTTTAATAAAACATATATAATTAAAGTTTTTTATAAATTACAAACAATTATTACTATATAAGAAAATTTAGCTGGTGACTAATTTGTAAAAAGGTACTGAATAATCAAAAATTATACATATTTCCCAATGTATAAATGTTGGGTTTTCACCAGACCCATTTAGTGTTTATTTTAAGCGACTTATAATTATTTGACATCTAATTTTTTTGATAATGTATGTTTTTATAGAAATATTTTTATTTGTTGTTTCCAAAATTTTTTTATTACTTTCCTTTGTTGCAATTTTATTGTTGAGTGGTACTTTGACTCTTGTTTATCTTAATGAATATATTTATTTTATAAATGTAAATTAAGACATATCTTTTCATTCGATCGATATCAAAGTTGAGCACTGTCTTGATATGTGATATAATTAATCTAAATTTAGTTTAGTAGAAAATATGTAGTGTGATTTTTTCGATGTATGTTATGTCAGAAGTTATTATGACAAATAATGTCGACTTTTGTGCTTTTATACCTATGCACTGTGTGTAAAAAATATCTGGAATTTATATATACAAATTAAAAAATAAATACTTAATGTACACATACTCGTAATATATTAAAAATATATAAATTACAATTAATGTTGTCATTCCAAAAGGAAACAAAAATAACTTCAAAATTAAAGGTCCAATGATTCCATTGTGACTCATGGAATGATCTTGGAGGGCAATTTCAATTATTAAAAATACATGTCCTAAAAATTTATCGCGTAGTGAAGCTAAAGCAGGGTTTATTATTTGGTCTGTTGATTGTTTCAGTCTCTCTGAACCACATTTTTGCCAGTCCTTACTATATTTCATTTCAAAAGATTCAATAATTTAATAGTACTGCTGAGAAAATCATACTACAGGATGATAGGATTTTTTATTTTGTCATTTTTACATTAGTTTAAAAATTTACCTGACTTTTTATTTTTTTGGAATTATAAGACAGCTTTAAATATATAAGACTATTTAAATATAGTATAAACTAAAGTAATGTTTAGCTATATCAACATATAAGAAAAGACTATCATTTACGACCACGTAGTATAATAAGTCGTGGAAAGGTTAAAGTCGTAGTTATAAAACCTTATCACATGAAAACTTTAAAATATATAAATACTTATTTGTGCCTAAAATAATTTTTCATTTTTTTATCTATATTAAATGGTTGCAGCAAAACCTATACAACAGTAAAATCCATTATTTATTTTCATAATATGGTAATTATATTTTCAAACTTATATATAGAAACAATAATTATATATTTATTGTAAAAATAAGCTACAATTGTATACTTGTTAATTATACTAAGGAT